TATCTTGTTCATGTACTTACCATAACCAGGACACCAAAGCACTTGTCAACAGATTGATGGAGCTGATGTCATGGAGCAGCCTGTCTGTTATATCTGGAGTGGTGGCATGCTTTTTATGCCACCTGTGGTGGCATGCTTTTTATGCCACCTGTGGTGGCATGCTTTTTATGCCACCGGAGGCGAGATGCTTTTTATGCCACCGGCGGCATGCTTTTTATGCCACCATTGGTGGCATGCTTTTTATGCCACCATTGGCGGCATGCTTTTTATGCCACCATTGGCGGCATGCTTTTTATGCCACCATTGGTGGCATGCTTTTTATGCCATGGAGGCAAGATGCTTTTTATGCCGCCATTGGCTGCATGCTTTTTATGCCACCGGAGGCAAGATGTTTTTTATGCCCCCGGAGACAAGATGGTATAAAAAGCATGCTGCCACCGGTGGCATAAAAAGCATGCCGCCACCGATGGCAGCATGCTTTTTATACCACCGGTAGTGGTAAAAAAAATGCCTTTCATGCCACCATTTCCCTCCACCTAGGGCAAACATAGTTGAATCCTGAAAAGAATGATGGAAGTTCTGAAGCTACCGGTGACCGGCACGTTATCTGCTGGTGGTCCCTGTATTAAGAAAAGATATAATAACCAGGTTAAATAAATAAAGTAAATGAATATGTTAAGTAAATGAATTTATAAAATGCTAATATGGCTCAGTGCAGTTCCCATCACTTGTGCCGTCATCAGGCAATATAAGTACGGCCAAGAGAGAGGAGATATAAATCTATCAGAGTTAGTCTCTGGCCTGGACCAAGCATGTAGCAAGTTAAGTCTGAGCAAATTACAACATATTCGATTCAGTTCACAAAGCTAACATGCAAAGTGAAAGGATGCCTGTTTTGAAAAACTCTGATTAACTCTGCTCAGAATCATATAAATGTACTTACCATTTCCATCGTAAACGGCGGGCAGGCGTTCCCACTGAGTATTTCTTCCCAATCTATATCACTAAAAAATGGATGGTTGGGAAGCTTTCTGACCGCTGTGCTACGGGTTATTGGTTCTTTGGCTAGAAGCTGTTAATAAAAGTAACATAGGACTATTAGGAGGGTGAAAGTTAGCAGTGCAGAATTGTAAATCTATTGCTGCAGTGCATTCTATATGTACTGTATATGTACAGTACATATAGAATGCACTGCAGCAATAGATCACACAAAAAAACTAAGCCCAGGCCCCGTCTTACTCACTGTTGCCTCGATCGCGGTGCCTCACGATTTCTCACAAGTGAGGACGTCATCGGCACTGAGCTGGAGGAGCGTCACGTCAATGCTGCTCCGGTGGGCGGCGCTCTAGGTGGGGTCCTAATTTAGGTGGCCGGCAACTGACTGGAGTGCCGCGACGCTCTGCGCGACGTGATAAGTAAAAAATAAAGTGACAGCCTCTCCAGCCCCACCGCCCGTACATGCTGCGGGTGGCAGAACGGTGGGGAAGGAGCGGCACTATGTCAGGGTGGGGGGGCCCTCTGCTTCCTCTCTGCCCCCCCCAACAGGCGGAATGCCAGGGCCCGGTCGCAATCGCGACCACTGCGTCCCTGGTATTGCCGCCAGTGCTGGAATTTGTAGTCCTGTATAGCTGGTGGTATTCTGCGTTCTTGTATAATCATTATACAGTTCTGCAGAATACCACCAGCTATACATTTTACATAAAGTCAGCATACC